AAGTTCATGAACCCAGTTGTAAGTTCATGATCTTATCCCCACACCCATAAATCCATCACATGGTCCAATCTTCTTTGGCCACGCTGGCATCTCCATCCAGCTGGTTCCGGTCAGGTGCAGAGGTGCGGAGACAAAAGATGACCTTGGCTTCTAGAAAAGAATGATAACAACACATTCTACAATTCTACTCCTTTCTATTCCCCCCCCCTCCCAACTACTACACTAATGAAAAGCATAGTGAAATAATAGAGAGTGTGGCAGGCCAAAGATCCTAAAAGGGATATAACTGCAGGCCTGACAGAGACTTTCAATAGTGAATATACACCATGATTATTCTGAAATGAGAGCTTGTATTTCCTAATTATCACTAGGATTTTTTAAATTCTGTTTCCATTCATATGGAAATAGAATAGTATATTACCAACACTTTCTATATATTCAAAGATACTGTATTTTCTTTTGTGTTAACTTGTAACATAGTTTCAGTGCTGACTTTTGTAATCCTTTGGTAATCTCTATTTAACAGGTGGTTTTTAGAAAAATGTCATGGCTCTTATAAACATTTTTTTTTAAAAAAAAGACAAGTTAGAACTATTCATTATTTGTTAATTGTTTAAATCTGTAAACTGTGGAATATGCTCTTAAACAAATATTGCTTAGCAAAGCTAGGTACTCATTTCATAAGATTTATTGGCTAGTATAATTGCAAGTATGGGTAGTCTTTGACTTATGGACTAAAATTAAGCCTGGAATTTCAGTGGAAAGTCATGCCGGTTGTTCAGAGGGTCACAACATTACCATGCCCAATTTAAGCACATATGGTGGTTGTTAAGAGAATGCTATGGTTGTTAAGCATACCCATATCCATTATGGGTATTTTTGCCAGAAACTGGAAGTAAATACACGTTTTCTACAGAGGAAACAAATTGTGTGGGTGCATGATGCTGAAAATGGCCATAAATACAGTTTGGTTGCCAAGTCCCAAAATGTGGTATGTGACTAAGGGGGAGCCCGACTCTTGAAACTTCAGATTCAGATTGTGAGTAGCTGTGTCATAACTTTGAATGGTTTCTAAGCAAATGGTTGTAGGTCCAGGACTACCTGCATTCCTACTTATAGTCTGAGAGAGTAATTGCTAATATTTAATTTGAAAATACTCTTCCATCATTTTTGGTTACATTTAATAGCTAATTGAGAAATAGAATAAGTCATTATTTAAAATAACATTAAAATAATAAAACTAAATAAAACTAAACATAAAGATGACTTTGTAAACTATAAGCCTCTACTAATTTATGTGTGAAAAGTCAATTAGTAAAAGTCAATTTATTAATAAAAATGCACTGGGCCCACAATAATTGTAAAGTTTAATTTTAAACTATTGATTTCACATTCTCAATATGTAATATTTAAGTTCTTGCTAATTTGCAGTTTCACTTTTTTTAAGGGCCCTCCACCTCCATTGAAGAAAGGGAAACTACTAGGCGAAAGGATGAAAATGTTTGAGGTATATAGACAAGGAAATAAGAAATTAGGCTAGAAGCTTTTAAAAGCAATAAATAAAAATCTTGAAATCTTTCCCCCTTATTTCCTAACAATAGAATATTTCCAATTTATAAATGAGAATACACCTTTGTGCCATTGAGTCATTACTATCTAATCAGAATATGATAAAAATTCATACTTTAAATTAGTTTCCATTTTTCAGGAAGCAGTTAAAAAGAAAAGGCTAGAGGAAAAACAACAGCGTGAACAGGTAAATTGAAGGATTTGCTATTTCTGTTTTTGTTTCTGTTTTTTGACAGATTATAGGAATCAGCAACATTCTTATGATTACTTAGATTAATGATTAATTGTGGATGTTAAATAAGTTAGATTGTTGCTAATTAAAAACATTTTTATCCTTAATTTTTAGATCAGTTTTATGAAGGTTGAGCAAATGAGAAGACTTGGAAAAGAAAGGGTAAAATGTTGGACTTTAAACATTAAAGTTCAGTTTTCATAACTTCCATTGGATTCTAAAGTCTAGTTTTAATTTCCCTCCCTCTTCTTCAGATGGAACGAATAAATAGAGCCAGAGAGCAAGGATGGAGAAATGTTCTCAGCATAAGTGGAAGTAGTGAAATCAAGGTTGGGATCTCCTACCTTTCTATATGAAAGTACTTTTTCTAGTTATTACAAATGTGAAGAGAAGCAAACAAGAACTTCTTTTTACATTCATAGGCTCAGTATTTTGGTGGGGGAGGAGCTAATGTGCCTTTACCTGTTCCTGATCGAGGACCATATGAACACTACCATGCTATTTTTGATCAGATACAGCAACAAAAAGAAAATCTTAAAATAGAAGGAAAAGATGTAAAGTTGAATGAAAAGCCGGGTCTAGAGCCTAGTCAAAGGTATGTCTACCTTCATTTTAAAAAATTCATAACATGTAATTCTGGCCTAAGGCACTGAAAATTACTGTGCATATTTATCTACAGAGGATCTCCACCTGGAGTTCATGCAGGAATTCATAATGGGCCTGCAGCTTACCATCATTCATCTGATGCAGATGCTATTAGGAAAGGAATGAAAAGATTGGAGAAGGTCTCTAGACAAGCCAATGCAAACAGGTTGAGTAATGATACATATCCTGTGTGTGTAGATGACAAAACACTTAATGTACTGAGAATCACAGACATGGGTGCTCAAAGGGATACCTGAAAGAAGTTCATTAATTAGTCATACTTCACACATTGTTTCTAAAGATACCATGTTCTGTTTTACGCATTAAACTACAATTTTTACATTACATTTCAACATTATAATTTTTTGTGAAGCAACACAAAATTCAGATGGGCAGCCTACTATCAAATCTTTATTACGATCATACAACAGCATAAACAGGTGGAGTACAGTCATTCAAAAAGTACAGAGAAAAGATCAGAGTAAAACTACATTAAAAAATTATAAAAAGCTAGAAGATATAAAACATACATGAATTAAAAACAAAGTACTGGTATTGTTGTGGCCCAGCAGCGGCCGGCTGACCTGTTGGTGGAATCTGACAGCAATGAACACTATGGGATTGCCTTGGAGGCTAAGGAAGACTCTGGGGGGGTGTTCGGAGTCAGAGCAGGGACTGGAGATGCCTGTTGGCCACCAGGTGGCATCTGAGTCAGGGAGCAGTGAGGGGGAACTGAGGGAGGTTGTCCCTGACATGAGAATGCATAGAGCTGATAGGAGGATGGAGCAGCTTTGGAAACAAGCTCATAGAAGGAAATAGGAAACAGGTATCTACTGATTGGCCCCTCCCAGAGAGCTTATAGGTGGAGCGACGGGAGGGGAATTTTGCAGGAAACATCAGTTTAAAGTTTGAAGAATTCCGTGAGGCTTGTTTTTCATAGAGATAATTTTTCTGAGCTCCTAGCCAAGGGGTGGCTTATCTCCCTCCTTAGTCGTGGCAGACAGCCAAGTCAGCATCAGTATAATGTAGAGGCTTGGGACAGAACAGGTATATAGAAAAACAATCTAAAAAAAAGGATAAGTATTGTTATTTTTCAGACTATACGATGCTCGTGACTATAAGACGCTCCTAGCTTTTGGAGAGGAAAATAAGAAAAAAGAAATCTGCTTCTACCTCCCAGCAATTTGCCTCCTTGCAGCAAACACATGGTCAGCTTCAGCACAGCCAGAATAACGCCTATCAGCTTTTCCAAGCTGCAGCGATTGCCATCGGCTCCTATCACCGCCGCCACCTATCACCACCTCGTGCCCCATTTTCGGACTCTGCACACTCCATTTTTTTGCCTCCTTTGGCTTCTTTGAGGTGGTGGGTATCACCGCCACCTATCCCTGCTGCCTGGAACAGACAAAAATGGGGTGCACAGAGGCCAAAAATGGGGCGCCAGGTGGCAATAGGTGGCAGCAGGGATGGGCAGTGGTGATCCCTGGTACAGCTGATAGGCGGTATTTCGGGAGGCCGATCCAACCGCCAATCAGCTTCTCATGCTAAATCAGGCTGTGCTGAAGCTGACCTTGCTGTTTGCTGCAAGGAGGCAAATTGCTGAGGCAGGCCAAAGGATGGTGGCCAGCGGGTGGGCGGGGCTTTGGCAATATAAGACACCTAGATGTTTGCACCAACTTGGGGGTGGGGGAAGTGCGTCTTATACACCAAAAATACAGTATGTTTGATAGGTGTTATAGCAAGGTTAGTATCTGAAAGCAGCAGGATACCGTAAAATTATCTTATGTGCCCTGGATATTTATGCAGCAATGGGGCAACACACTAAATAAACAAAAGTATTTCAAAATATTTATGGGATAATAATAGACACAAAAATAACAAAATGACATTAATAAAACAATAATACCTAAAGTATTATTAAAACATAATATGAAATATTGAAAACATCAAAAAATACAAAGAATCTCACTTCATCTTACATTTGTTTATATGCTTACTAATCTACTAAGGTATGTATTTTAGAAATGGCAGTAAATCACCATCCAAATTATTGCACTATGATGCATTGTTTCACCAATTAAAGGTTTCAGACACAAGACTTTTAGTACTATATAGATAATACAAGAACAACCCAATATAGAAGGGCACTTGTGAAGAAATCATGGGAAGATTTTTTTGCCAAGCAGCTAGTATAGAAGTTTTTAAACTTTACCCACTATTACCCAGTCTTATTAGTTAATAGTATTGCTGATTATGGTTAATTAACCATTGAAAATAAACTCTTGTAAAAACTAAATTTCACTGGATTAAATTCAGTTTGGTGAGTTCATCAATGAAATGAATATTATTGGTAGAACGGTCCCAACTCCCTTTTATCTTTTACAATGCTGCTAAAATGTCAAAATGTGTAGTATGTGATATAGTTAAAGACAAAACACGTTTATAAGTAATGCTATGCTCAATTGCTAACTTCCAATAATGCAAGCTTAATATATTCCATTTTAAATTATTCAAAATGCATCTAATGGAGAGAAGTCCTTTCTTTTAGTCTAGTATTTATATTTTTTTTAACCATAGAACTCATATAATTGTCTTGGAAAGTCAGGCAAGCTCCTTTCCCCCCTCTGGCTTCACATTGGGCTGTGTGGCAGAGGGAGATGTTATTAGGATGAAATTCTGAGGACCGTAAGTTTTTATTTGCGTACATGGAATGTTGCTGGTTTTAATTTTGAAACTTCTTTTTTCATTATATCTTAATGTCCTATGGTATATTTCTAACTAGTTTTTAATATGTTAATAATAAACACCATGGAGGAAGTGACATCCTGGTGTCTAGCAGCTGCAGGAGAACAGGCTCCTCGTCCCCTGCCCTGGCTTCTGCTTCTTTGTGGGCTTTTGTGTCCTGTGAAGTTCCAGGGGAGATCGCAATTCTCCTGCAGAGCCTTGGGGCATTTTTCTTCTATGTGACATCAAGAGAAGAGACAGCCTAAGATGGCTGTCACAAAGCTGGTGCCAGCTTAACATCCAAGAAGTGTGCTGGAGCAGTGTTTGGAACTGGGTGAGAAGAATTCTTTTTAATTCAAAGTGTAACCCCAAAAGAATATTCAGGAAAGAAAGACTCCTAATTACTCTTAAAGTGGCAGTGACCAAGCTATTTTTGAGTAAAACCTTAGAACGGAAGAGAAAAGAATTAAAGGAAGAAAATAAAAAAACTTGCTAAAATACAGAAGATTGAAATTGGGTGTTGGAAAGGCATTTTAAAATGCTGGAACTATTTATATAAAAGCTAATACCACATTTAAATTTTGGAGTATTATAGTAAATTTGTATAAAGAAGAAAGCTGATTTGAAAGCTGATTTAAGAGTGCCAACTGTTGATAAAGGAAGGTACAACATACCCCCAAAATCCTGGAAAAGACTTGGTTGTGGAAATTTAAGTGTGAGATGAAGAAAACCTAAATACTAAAAAGACCCCTAAAAGCTTCAAAATAAGACTGAACTGGCAGAGAGATTTATGAAGATTTCATTTTTGGACTAATTAGAGGAACAGATTTTGGGATACAAAATTTCTTGGACAGTGAATATTGAATCACTTGAGAAGTGGCTTTGAAAATTGAAAAATAGATTGTTGGACTGTTAGACAAAAAGAAAAAAAAGGAAAAAATGAGTGGAATCCAGGAAGAAATTTCATCGTCAATCCTGGACTTTAAAGACACCTTGACGAGGATGTGAGGAGATTTTGAATAAAATGCAGAGCATAGATGAAAAGCTGGAAATTAAAGCATAAAAGACAAGGAGAAACCAGGATGCTCAGGAAGAGGAGGAGTCAACTGAAAGAGCAGCTGAAAAAACTAAACAGAGGAAACAACAAGCAAGAAGATGACAAAAAGGAGATAAAAATTAAAATAAGAATGATTGATGAAATAAATCAAGAGGAGAGTATTTTAAGGGAAATTAAACAAGAAATAGAAATACAGGAAGATTTTCTTGGGAGAGAAACAGGGGTAAGAGTAGATAATTTGAAACTTAGACAATGGAATAAGGTAGAGAAGGGATAAATATTTAAGAGGATTGGCCAAGCAATGCAAGCATATAGACTAGATCCAAGAGAAGAACATGGGAGACAAGCTAAGAAATGGAAAAATCAAAGCTTTAAAATGGGTAAAAGACGATGGATAAAAAAGGGGGGTGGGACTATTGCCTTAAAATAACAGTGAGATAAGTTAAAATGGGATTGGAAGTTTGAGAAGGGGGGTTGTGTGTGTGTTTGTGTGTGTGTGTGTGTGTGTGTGTGTGTGTGTATTAATAACAATAAGGGAACCTAGGCTTTTAATGATGACAATTTTGAATATGTTTGACTAAAGTGTTAATGGCTTTAAAAATAACATAGAAATATTTAATAAGCAAAAGATTGAAGATTATAATTTACTATAAATATGTGTAATATTAGTATAACCATACATGTTTGTTAAAATGTAACAAATGTGACTATCAACATTTTAATTGTAGTAAAAGGAATGATATGTAGAATTTGCATGAAAACAACATATTGAATTATTGAATAAGATAATAATTATAATTCAACAAAACAGATGTATTGTTACTATTATTAGAATTATATAACTTGTCAAATTGTCAAATATAAAAAAATAATAAACATCATATCATCACTTAAATTTCTCCTAAGCAGTTTCACAAGTGTAAAAATTCAGTATTCATTGCAGTCTAAAACCTTTAATGAATAATAGTTCTGTGCAGTAGATATGTCTCTTCATACAGAGTTGATGTGTGTTTGTGTGAGTGTGCATGTGCATGTGCATGTGCAAAGAGTAGCTCTTAATCTTCATATTCCTGTTGGTTGACACGCTGGTTAGTCTACTGGGAGTTGAAATCTATCGGTTTCAGAAGTAAAGAGATTTTAAAATGTTCAGAAATATTAAAACAATGGGAACCTGTTTTTCCTAGAATAAAAAACATGAAAATATTAGAATAAAATAATGTATGCTGCTAAGGCCATCCATGCCCCAATGCCTGCCTCATCTCATGGACGCGGCACTGGTGCATTGGTCAGCCTCCTGCTCTGTTGTGGCTGCCAGCAAGCAGAAGTGGACTGACAGCCATGTGAGGTCTTCAAGGAACATGACTATTAGAGCCACCGCCATGAGGCGAGGCAATTGTCATGGCACGGATGGCCTGGCTACAGGGGCCTTGAGGTAAACCAGTGTGGGACAATTCTGTCACTTGGCCTTCTGCTGTGGTGCTGCACCAGTGCCAGAAGAAATGGACCAGTGACCACATGGGCTCCTGCTGCACTTGGCTGCCGCAGCTGCTAGGCAGTTGTCAGGACGTGGATGGCCTGGTGGTGAGGGCTCTGATATAAGCTGATGTGCGTAGGACAGCTTCACACACCCCTCACCTTGTGTTGGCACTGCAAGCAACCAGACAGAATGGGGAGGTGGGTGGCTGCCAGGTGCTTAAATAGGGCTTATTTTGGGTTCAAGCGCAGAAAACATGCTAGGAATTATTTTTGGGATAGGTCTTATTTTCGGGAAAACATGGTAAGACAGAGTACCAGCAGACAGCCCAAATTTGCAAATGAGGAAAGCAAAGGCTCAGAACGAACAAAGACTTGCAACAAAAGTCAAAGATAATAAAAGAAAGAGATTCTTTCAACATATAAATAAGAAAAAAGTCAAGGAAACAGATTCACTTAAGAGAGAAGATGGCAAGGAAATAACAGCAGAGATAAAGCAGAACTGCGTAAATCATTCTTTACATCAGTCTTCATGCAAAAAAAAAAAATCTTATACCCCCAACCTACCAAAAACATAACTAAAAGACAGACTAGAAATAAAAATAAGCAAGAAAATGGTTAGAGAACACCTACCTGAGCTTGATGAATATAAATCACTGGGATCTGACATATTGCATCCTAGAGCTGGCAAATGTTATCTCAGAACCATTGAGAACCATCTTTCAAAAATCCTGGAACATCGGGAAATTACTTGAGGATTGGAAAAGAGCTAATGTGGTTCCCATCTTCAAAAAAGGAGGGGAAAAAAACATCCAGGAAATTACAAACCAATTAGCCTAACATCAACACTTGGGAATATACTCACGTACACACTCTAGCAATCAAAAAATAGCAATCTGCAAATATCTAGAAACAAATACACCTACAAGTTTTTTGTCTTCTTCGGTGGTCAAACCAGCATCTATGAAGTCGACTGTGGTTATGGCAGCAATGGCACATAGTTATTTCTAAACTATTGTATTCTGTCTTTTCTTTTGAAGTAGAGGGCATGTGTGTTTGGTCGAAGGCCTCTACATAACTTCCATCACATTAATCTTCATCATCACTCATCTGTCCTTCATTTTCATCATAAGAGATAATATCTTCATTTGTCAGTATTGAAATGTCTGGAATACTTCTCTGCTTATATTTAGTGTGTCTTTGTCTCTCATAGTCTTGCCACTTTTGCCTGTTGAGTAGTCGTTTCTGCTCAGGCAATCTAGCAAACCAATCTGGTGCGAACCAAAAGAATCAATCTTCCTTCAGTGGTATCTTCATCTCCTTAGGGCAGGTACAATTAATGTGAGCTTCTTTTTTGCAGCCAGCAGGGCAGCCAAACTTGGCACACAGAACAATTTGACACTTGCAGTTGAGAATGTCAAACAGTTTCACAGTGAAAGTTTCTTTGACATCTAACTTTCCTCTACCAAAAGATATGTTTTTGGCTTGATCTCAGCTCTCTTGGATCTTGTTCAAGATTGTCACTCATGAATTTACAGCAGGTATCACAAAAGAACTGTTTGCTCATTCCCATTTTTCAAGCACTTTTAGATCTACAGTATGTCTCTTGCAAGACTGGCTGTTGTATAGTTTCTATCATCATCACTACTTTATTCTCTCAACAGTAGGCCGTATCTGAGAATATCTCGCAATGTTGGGAGTTCAGACAGCACAAGTCTCTGCCAGTCCCAAGTACGTTGCTCATATGAGTGACTGTTGCCAATCTTGTTCTTTTTTTAGAAGCCAGATCACTCACAGGAAATGAGGCAAGCAGTATTAACAGTGTCAGACAAAATAATGTTTAACCTGTGAAATGAAACAAACCAAAAATATTAAAAAGTTATAATATTTATGTAGTTATTTACCAAGCACATCTAAATTATATGAAAGTAATCAAAACATCTTTACAATCCCCAAGGGATGTCACAACTTTTGAACTTTTTATTTTTGGAAATTGAAAGTTGAAAAATTTGACATGTCCTAACAGTAGACAGTCACTTGTCTGAAATGATATAAGGTCTCCTGCTTGATCAGGGGATTGGATTTAAAGACCTCAAAAGGTCTCTTCCAGCTCTATTCTGACTGACTGATTGAATATCCTTAAATTAGTACTTATATCTGAATTGTATTGCATTGACTACTAAGTAACTTTTTTAAACAGATGCTATATCTTGTGCTGAAAATTCTGCAAGTTAATGAACAGTGTAACATATCAAATGCAAGAACAACGAGCAACACTAATCAGTGAAGGCTGAATTAAAATAGAGGATCAGCACTTAACAAGTAGCAGTCTAACTTGAATGGAACCAGTTAACAATCACAGTGACTTCCTTCTGTATATTTGTAACTGTTCCTTATGAAATAGAATTTAATATTAAATTTCATATTTCATGTTAAAATGATTTATTTGTTTGAAATAGTTTATTTGAATTCTAATATTCTGTCTACTATTTTTATAAATAACTCAAGGCAGTGCACATATATAAAACTCTCTTCTCCTGTTTCCTTAAGTACATTAAGATGTATTAATACATTCAACTTTCATATTATACTCAGGCAAAAAGGATGGATAGCTGCAGAAAGAGCCAAACAACTTGAAGAATTCTGGCAACGGAAGCGAGAAGCCATGCAAAACAAAGCCCGTGCTGAAGGACATATGGTATGAAATGGTGACATTCTACTTGTGCAGGCATTTGAAGTATTTTTTTTATGTTAACTCTGTTATCAATCTTCTATTATTTTTTAAATCTAATAATTTTTATGACAAGACAAATATAATTTTTGTATCTTAGAATCTTGGTTAAACAGTCCATGAATTATAAATAACATTGCTTTTATTTTAATATTACTTATTGTCAGAAATTATTTTATTTCTATTATATCTTTTCCATCTTGCTTTTCATTTTCTTTAATACACAGTGATTGTAATTTGCAGTTCATATGGTATAATAATAGTTATAAATCCTTTTTATTTTAAAATGTTGTCATGTATGTCTGCATGTATTTCCTTGAGAATAATTTCCTAACTTCTGATTAATCCAACTGCATTGTAAATTAATTTTAAAATTTGGGCAAACAAGCATTCTTGATTTTCCCAATAAGTTCCTTTTAATTAAATCACTTTTTAAATTATACTCTAAGACTTAAGGTAGCAATGGAGAATTAAAATAGAAAAAAGAAATCCTTCAATATATATGGATCCTTGGCTTTCTTTAATACACCTAAAATAGATTATTCCAAAGTAAAGCTTTGTTCTAATTAAGATGTTTTACTATTTTATGATATAGGTTTTTATATATAATTATATAACCATTGGGCTGTTCACATGAAAACCATAGCTTCTTACTATACATTGTGTGCACGATTATTAGGCAAGCTGTATTTTGGAGGATTAATTTTATTATTGAAAAACTACAGTGCTCTTGTTCAGCTGGGCTTCGACCTATTGCTGTACAGGGAGTCATGTGTTGACACAGGAGGAAGTTCAAAGGCGGTGATTCCAGTCCCCAGTCGTCATCCGCTTGAGCGCCTCCTTTGTATTCTGACCATTCGTTTGGCCTGACCGTTAGTTGTGGGGTGAAATGGAGCAGATGTTACATGCCGAATCATGTTAGTGTTGAGGAATGACTGAAACTCTTCTGCTGTGAATTGTGCCCCGTTGTCGGACACGGTCACATTTGGCAGGCCATGTGTGGCGAACAGCTAGTGCAACTCTCAGATGACTCTGATCATTGTCATTGGTGAGACCGGTGCAACTTCCAACCACTTGGAATAACTGTCCCCTACTATCAGGAACACCTGGCCCTGGAACAGGTCCACAAAGTCAATGTGCACACGAGACCATGGGAGCGTGTGGTCTCCCAGTGGTGCACTGGTGCTTGTGGCATCTCCAATTCAGTTTCTTGGCAGGCCTGGCAACTCCTTACTTGATTCTCAATGTCTTTGTCCAGGCCTGGCCACCACAAGTAGCTCCTGGCTAGAGCCTTCATCCAAACAATTCCTGGGTGCCCCTCATGTAGGGAATCCAGCACCTTGGAGTGAAGACTGGGTGGACTGATGACCCTGTTGCCCCAAAGAACACATCCTTTGTGGGCTGACAGTTAATTTTTTCTCAAAGCGTAATGCTGGAACTCAGGGCCTGGCCGGACCTCTGGCCATCCCCTTAACATCCAGTTGAGGACGCGGCTAAGTGTTTTATCTGTGATGGTTTCAGCTACAATGTCTCCTGCATGTAGGGATGTTTCAGGCAGATCCTGGATTGCGACCCGCTGGGGCTGGATCCGGCTCAGTCTGTGGTAGAGGCAATCGGCTAAGAGCATTGGCATGACCCATTTCCTTGCCTGGCTTGTGGACTAGCCGATATGAGCATGCAGCCATGAAAATGGACCATCATAGCATTCGCAGTGACAGCACTGGTGGTGTCTGTCTGCTGTAAAGGGATTGAGCAAAGCTTTGTGGTCGGTAAAAATGGTGAAGGTTTATCCATATAAGAAGTTGTGGAACTTCTTAACACCAGCCACTATGGCGAGGGTTCCTTGTCTATCTGGGCATAGTTCCTTTCACCCAATGATAACGTTGTATAATAATATGCGATGGGGGCTTCTCTACCACTTAGCATCCTGTGGCTTAGTACTGCCTCAATGCCATATGGCGAAGCATCACAGGCTAGTGTTACTGGTAGGTTTTCATTTAAATTAGCTAGGACGGAGTCCAAGGATTGCAATGATTTTACCGCCTTGAACGCTTTGTCCTGGATCTAGTCTGCTCGATCAGATCTAGGGTGCTGTTTTGTCCAGAAAGCCGTGTAGCAGTTCTGCCAGAATGAGTGGTAGAAATTGAGCAAGTCGAGGAATGCTTGAAGCTCCCCCTTGGATTTTGTTGTGGGGGCTTGCTGAATTGCCTTTAGCTTAGCTTCAGATCGATGGATTCTGGCAGCATCGATACAGAAACCTAGGAATTCTGTGGATTCAACGCCGGTCTGGCACTTTTCCTTCTTTAGTTGCAGGCCTGCCTCATGGAAACGTTGGAATACTACACAGAAGCGTTTCACTAGGACTGCCATTGATCCCCTGTGATCAGGACGTCATCAAAGTATGGGCAGATTTCGGGAATGTTCTCCAGTGTTCATTCCATAATACTTTGGAACAACCCTGGTGCTACGCTTACCCCAAACTGCAAACGGCGCACTCGGAATGTACCTCTATGTATGACTATTGTCTGTGCCTCCGCAGTAGTGTTCGCCACGCAGCTGCTAGTAGGCCTGGATGAGGTCTAGGTTAGTGAAGATTCGGCCTCCCTGGAGTAAGGTGAGGATGTGACTTACTACTGGTACAGGATAAGAATGCTGCTGTAGTGCCCTATTTATGGTGCACCTGTAGTCTGCGCAGATGTGAACATCCCTGTTAGGCTTAACTGGGGTCACTATGGGAGTCTCCCAGCGGCTGCAGTCCACAGATTGGAGCACTCCCCGCTGAACTAGCTTGTCTAGTTCCACATCAATTTTAGGCTTGAATGCAAAGGGAACCCTGTGTGATTTTAATCGGATTGCAGTTACTGCTGGATAGAAGTTGAGTGAAATGGGTGCCCCTTTGTATTGTCCCATCTCAGTGCTGAATACATCAGCATATTGTTTTTTTATATTATTATTTTTTATTTATAAACATGTAAAATACACACACACAAAACTTAGACGTACACCACATTTACACAATACAATACGAACAAGAACTTCCTGTTCTTTCTAATAGCAATTATCAATCAATACCGCTCACCTTATATTATTTCCTCTTCTATTATATTTCATTTGGATTTCACCATTCTTAACCCTCTTGTTTTACTCATAACTATTATTTTTGAGTTTTGTTGTATTCCTTCATTGATTCTTGTTTCTTTCCTCCATCCACCTATACCATTTATCCCATATCTGGTAGAATTCTGATTCTTCTTTTCCCTGGATTTCTTTAGTTAGTTTGTCCATTTCAGCACAATCCATAACCTTTCTTATTATTTCATCTTCGCTTGGAGTTAATTTGTTTTTCCATTTCTGGGCAAAGGCAATCCTTTCCACCGCAATTATATGTAGTATTAAATACTGGATTTCTTTTTTGTATTTTGCAGACATTATTCCTAATTAAAAAAACTTCAGATTTCCATTCTATTTTTAACCCCTGTTATTGCCTCCAGCCAATTTTTGATCCTTTTCCAAAAACTTTTAGCTGCCTCATAGGTCCACCATAAATGGTAATATGTTCCGTGTATTGATTCTTATTTCCAACATTCCAACATTTTGGGGAGGCATTTGTTAAGATTTTAGCTAACCTTGTTGGTGCCTTGTTGGTAAAACATTTTGTACTGGTTTTCCTTGTATGCAACTGATAGTGTCGTTTTTAAGTTTGTTCCCCATAATTTTTCCCATTTGTCTAATTCAATATTATAGCCAAAGTTCTGCGCCCATTTTATCATTTGTTCTTTCACAATTTCCTCTTCCATTTTATACTTCAGGAGAAATTTATATATTCTCCCTATCATCTTTCTATCTGAGCTTTGAATAATTTTATCCAATTTGTGTGGTTCTTTAATTTTTTTCTTGACGTCTGTGTAGACCACTGTCTGTATGCTTGCCAATGCTACCAAGTTTTCAGCGATATCAAACATGGCTTGTCCACAGACACACAACAGGGTTGCCGCCTTTAGGCCATCGTCCATGATCTGGTTAGGCTGGAGATAGTTGAGCTCCACTGTTCCGGATGACTAATGTCGAACTCATTGAGTCTTCCCAGTTTAGCCATTTTGAGAAGGTTCCTGTGGTGCTGGTTGATGCCTGTACTGCTGTGGTTGAAGCTGGATTGCACTTAGGAGTCCTGGGGAGGGATCCCTCAGGTGTGCCTGTGCCTCCAGTGTGTCTTATTGGCAGACAGGGCAGAGAGTGTGGTCCCACCAGGGCTTTTTTTCTGGTCTAACAACCAGTGATTTCAACATGCCTACAGTGTGGCTTACTGGCAGGCAGAGAGTGAGGACTAGTCCTGCTGGGGCTTCATTACCCAACCTATTACCCAGTGATGTCAGTCTCTTGGTTAACAGCAGCTCTCTCCCCTGCAGCATCCCAACTTCGTCGCCATTGTTGTGTAGTGAGCGTCAGTAGGCAAGAACCAGACCAGCATAGATGCAACAGCTTTTATTCATTCAAAAATGGAGATGAGGAACTGCAGTCAAATGCCTGTTATTTATACTCTAGGCCAACACGGCCTTAACCAATCATAAACTAGAACACCACCACCACCACCACCACCATATAATTGTTCTGAACCTCCTTCCAACAGTTGGAGTCATGGAAATATTAGTTTCACTTTAGCCCAGTTCAACAGTCAGGGTCAACTAAAGGTTAATCCCATTTAGCATAACTATATACATTTAGTACATAACAAATATAGCCTCCCTTCTTTTCAATAATAGTCATAAATTAGGCCACACACCCTCCCTCATTACTCAAATACACATCACCTGATCTGCTTATATCCACTAAGCATTCAAGTTTATACAGCTTGGAGGTGGGAAACATGCATACAAAGGATGATATGGTCAAAATACCCACTTCCCTAATAATAGTGCACACGGTGTATGAACAAATCATGATGAGCTTCTCCCCTATTTTTCTTCTTTGGAATATGAAAATGGAAACCAGATTTCTATTTTTAAATCAGTCATGGAGAACTATGATTTGCCTGGAATTACATGCAAAATCTGCTACCATTCTTTGTATTTAAAAGATGTAAAGATAAGCACTGATCACTGTGGCTTGTTTAGCTTATTTGAAATTTCATTACACTACACTGTATTTTAATTTGGTCTTTGTTACCTTTCTCTCCTGATTCCTTCATGAATCAACTTTGTGTTCTAAACTTATTGTAGTTCTGTATAATGCCCAATATGGAAATAGACAAAACAGGACAGTGGAGTAAGATGGTTCACAGTTTTTAATTTAATTTGTTACAGTTAAATATTTAATTGAAAAACCCTTGAATTGAAAAATTCAAAACTTCTAGTTTTCTTCTTCGTTAAGGGCATTTTGTTTAGTACCACAATTCCTCTGCAATACATCCATTATACTTTATAGACATTTGTTCATACCTTATAATAATTGCTAGCAGTTTTATATTAACTCTGAAGGTCAGGCCTAGCTTTTAGAGGGGAATGTAATAAACAAAAAAAGAATATCATTTTCTCTTTTTAGCCAATTTCAATAGGTGTCATAAATGACTATAAATATGTGAGAAACACCTGATGGTAATCATATATATTCTTAAATATACACAGATGTCTTTAGAGTACAGTGGAAAAAACCAACTGATCAGCTTAATAATATAGCCACAATTATCTGAATTTCCATAATTTATTTTGATAACTTTTTATACCTTCAACCTATCACCATGAAAATTCTGGCATTATTAGCTGGTTGGAATGAATCAATTTTACTAAGGCTTAGCTTGAAGTTGTGCATCCGCTGTCTGTGGAGTGCAATGAGATTGTCAATCTGCTCTAAAAATTTCAAAATCAGATATTTTGTATTAGTGAAAGAACATAAAACATTTTAAGGTGGGACAGAGAAAAGAAAAATACATTTGCCTAGGCACATTTTCCTAGCATTTATGTGAACATAGTCCTCTGGGTAATAAGGCTACAATTTTGCATTGGATAAGATTGTACCTTTTTTCTTATTTATATCCCTTGTAGTAAATTATGTTTTCCCCCCATTAGTATAAGAGTACAGGAATAGTCTGACGGTGTAATTGCTGCACTGTAACTTAGTACCAGCATATGCAAATAACATTTTTGCTCTGCACTGCATAAACCTCTCTTAAAAATACTTTTGAAATATGCAGTGTTAGGGCTAAAATGGGGTATGAAAAGCTCAATTTTATTAAATTTATCTTCATAATGTTTATATTTAGAAAATAATGATCTAATTACCTTGACTACAGATAGGAAGTAAAGATTCATTTTATACTATTTCATCTATGAACGAAGAAATATTTGTTAAGATTTGAGTACTGATCCAACTATAAAAAGATTAAAATTTTATTGCTTTTTACAAAATAGGAAATGGTGTTCATCACATAGATCAGAATAATGAATATGATATGAAAAGCAATAATCTGATTAAATGAGCAATTCATAGAAAATGATAATTCACTAAATTAAATTATATGTACATTTTATTCAAAATATTTCCAAACTTAACCACTGTATTAGCTATAATATTCAGTTGCTATGATATGTATTTATATTATGAATAAGAATTCTGAAAATATTTTGAAATTGTCATTGAAATATTTTCAATAAGTTATGGTGAGGGTTTTTTTGAGATAAGCAAATATTAGCAATCAGCAAATATATCCATTGATTTTACAATTTTAAAGGAAATAACTAGAAAATAGATAGCAAGAAAAATGGAAGAAATTTGGTGATTAAGAACACATTATTTCTTTAACCTTTTTATTCATTGATAATGATCAAATGTTGATTGATGTAAGACTAGATAATATGATGGCCCTAGCTGTTATTGAATTTAATACATTAAATGGTGAACAGGGCACACTGCAAAACCTGACAGCTATCTATGGAGGCAGGTCCATTTCTTCAAGAGGAAGAAAAGCCAGAAACAAGGAGGAAGAGGTACGCTTCCTGCATGTTTTCTGCCTTCATTGCATACATAGAATCCCATTCTCTGCCTCATTTTTTCTGCATGGACATATAATTAAAAAAAAGGCTTCTTTAGAGTTTTAATTAGTATAAACAGACAACTGTTAGAGATGGCCCTTTGGCAAATTATTGTATTCATTATCTAAATTCTGTCACCAGAAAAAGGTAATTTGTTTTCTCTTAAAAACAATCAAATTTCATCTCCTCTGACAGTAATTAACTACATTTCATGATACATCAGTGATGTTTCTGCTGAATTTACTTCTCTTCCAAAAGAGACTTGACACATTACTAGTTTGGGGAATTTGAAAGAATCAGCATTGCTATAACTTTCCTCAAGCAGAAAGGTCTCTTTTTATTTTCTTAGGAATACTTGACAAGACTGAGGCAAATTAGACTTCAAAACTTTAATGAACGTCAAGAAATAAAAGCAAAACTTCGTGGAGAAAAGGCAAGTTATTTTCTTTTTATTTAGAGTAAGTGTAAGTATTTGCAGTGGCTCATGATCTTTTATGCTGTTTGGGTTAATTTAAAAACCTCCGTATAAGAAATTAATTCAAACCTTGGACCTCTGTGTTTTGTGCTTCTGCTTATTCTGCGGTCTGTTAATTCAGAAAGAAGAGGGTATCAAGAGGGGAAAAGAGGTTTCCCCATTCACCATGTAGTCTCCCTGGGGTTATTTCTTTTTTTTTTTAATGAATATTTTTATTTCCATTTTCATTTTCATAACACACACTCACATGTATACTATACATAGCC